TTTAGAATATATAAAATTACACAACCATGTCTCTTTTTTGTTAAATGTCAGTTTTAATGCTAATATCCCGTTCAAAAGTATAAGTACCCTAATAGGTAGGCTATAATAAGCTATACAATGAGAAATAAAGCAAACAATTCAGTTAAACATAAGTAGGCTCTCTAATAGGCTACAAAGTTAAAGTTAAATAGCCTACATAATAAAGTTATAAAACTTCACTTTGCCCTCAGCCAAAACAATTTGCCATGGCACGAACTATATATTAATATAGTTTAGCATTGTTTGGTCTCATAAGATAAAATAAAAACATGCACTGAAAACTTATGTATATGGTTGATTATTTGTCAAGATAAGTAATTGTTTTTCATAGATTAAAATAGCTTTTAAATTACGCAAACTGGCAATATTATATTGGTTTTAAACATCTCCCCTTAAAACGCTATTGGTCTCGACTATTTAAATAAAGTTACAGGAATATGACTTGGCCTGAAAAAAATTTCAGTCAGAAGAATTTTTTTCACTTTAATCCCTGCATAAATACTATAGATGACCAGGTGCAGGCAGAAGCTAAAGCTTATTATGCCTGCCCTTAACTTTAGAATGAAATGTAACTTATTAATGACAACATCTGTTCATAAAAATAACATTAACACTTTCGTGAACCATTGTCCACACCAGAAGCAAGCCTGTCTAATTCATTTTTATTCTTTTATAGTTTTCCAATGTTATTCTCTTGTAATATTTTTTAAACTGAAAAATAGATGTGGCTTGTTTTAACTCATTACAACAGCTATTCCACAATTTAACTCCTTTATTTGATAAACAGTGTTCTCTTAATGTAGAATGTACTTGTGGTTGGTTAAATATACATAATCCTCTAAGATCATATTTACTTTCTCGTTGGGAAAATAATAATTGCAAACATTTAGGAGTTTTATTATATTTGACTTGATAAATAAATTTTAACGTGTACAAATCGACAAAATCATAAAACTTCAAAATTTTTGATTGATGAAACAGTAAATTACTTGGTGCATTGTATGGGGCATAATTAATTTATCTAATAACCTTCTTTTGTAATAAAAAGATTGGATTAGTTCTAGTTTTGTATGTATTTCCCCAAATTTCAATACCATACATTAAGTATGGTGTAACAAGTGAAGTATAAAGTAAATGTAATGCATTTTTACTCAAGATATACTGCAACTTGTACAAAATTGCAATCATTTTAGATACTTTCTTCTGAACATTAAAAATATGCGGTTTCCATGTCATTTTACAATCAATAATTACTCCAAGAAATTTTATATGATTTACTCTTTCTAAAATATTTTTATTAATAGTAATCCTGATCTCATTATTTAACTCTTTATTACTAAATACCATGAATTTCGTTTTATTTAAATTTAGTGACAATTTATTTAAATCAAACCAATTCTTTAGTTTATACAATTTTTTCTCTACCACCAACACAAGCTCTGTAAGATTTGGGCCAGAACAATAAATTGTTGTATCATCCGCGAAAAGAATAAAATTTAAAACATCCGACACTTTGCATATATCGTTTATATATAACAAAAATAACTTAGGGCCCAAAACAGAGCCTTGCGGAACGCCACAATTAATGTGGCGTTAATATACAGTTAATATATAAACATCTTGTGAGAAAGACTGGTATTGCCAATGCAATTGGAGAATTGTATTTTAAACTTAGTAGTTATTTCATCTCACTCATTAGATGGGGTTGGTGGTTTTAATAGGAGTTGTTGGTATACATATTCAAGGGCGTACACAGTTCAGTTGTGTGTATGTTCATATGTAGTGGGCCAGTCTGGGCCAAAATGCCCAGCCCTGATAATACTGGAGCACCAACTAGCGTTCATGACTTTTTTTTACAGTCTATGCCTCAGTTAATAAAAAAAAAAAAAGCAGTGAACATGAACGAAGACGCTGACGAGACCCCTTCGGTTGGTCCTGTGGATGGGAAATTTAGTTATAAGAACGAACCGATGGAAGCGTCATTAAGAGCATGGTTGTTGTGTGCAAGCTATGCAACAAGGAATTCGCATATCACATCGACCCTCAAGTTTCACCTCAACGCAAAACATATACAATTGCACTGGTCTGTTGGATTTGGTTGAACAAAAATAAACAATATTTTGTTGCTTAAGCTTATGTATTCAGTCATTATTAAATGATATACTAAAAATCCATGTGAGAAAAAATCTTCTCACTGTTCTCAGTTCAAATATTTATGCAATTAAAATGCGCTTAATTTCGATTTATTAATTACAAAGCCTCTAATTAATTAGATTTTTTTTTAATCGAGTCCCGGCCCTAAAAATAATATATATAATTTACTCACACATTCTAAGTGATCTTATGAACCACTGACAACTCCTAAATAACTGGTTTGTAAATAATGCTATACTTCATTTAGATGTAAATTGATCATTAATAAAGTATGAAAATACAATTATTAAACACATTATAGATATGCTATTAAAACAAGAAAAAAAACATTTATAGCTGTATTTACATATATACTGCTTATTAATGTATTTTAATGCTTAATAAATGGTGAATTATCAGTTCACTAATGCTTAACTAATGATTAATACCATGCAGTTATTATAAAGTTACTGAAAGTTCCTATAAGCAGCCAGTTCACCAGCAGCTCTACAGTCTCAGAGCCTCTGGGACAGCAAGGCATTCAGACAATAGAGAAGTGTGAACGACGTGTGTTAATGGGCCATTGCAGTTCTTGCTCCAGCCTACAGGAGCGCTGCTGAGTATGGGCTTAAACACACACACACTCGCAAGTCCCCACTTGGTCAAAAATGTAAAAAATTCACCAGAGCGTTTTTTAGTTGATTTTAACATGTTTTAAGGCATAACTAACAGGGGACTTGAAAAATGTCCCCACTTCCCTCGGCGGTCCCCTGTTGGTGAGTGTGTAACGACACCAAAGTCCCCTCTTAGATAGGTAGACAAGTACACACACACACACACACACACACACACACACACACACACTCACTGTATCACTGTGCAAGATGACTCTATCACTCAGACCTCCAAAAACCTGACGCCTTCTTGAGAAATGTCAAGGAAAAACACTCTGTATTGTCCACAAACTAAAGTTGCAAGCAAAAAATAATTCCTCCCAAAGCTGTAATTGTATATTCATCCAGCCCAGACCTGAGAGAGGCTGAAAAACAAGAGCACATATGCATGCATACATGTGTTTTACATATTTAGGGATAATGTACAGCCAACCTGGCATTAATGCAAGAAGTGATATTACTGCTCATAATCACAATTATAACATGGTTTCTAGCCAGATAAATATTTAGCTTTTTTTTTGTGCATAAAGTATTTTGTGAGAAGAAAGAGACTTAAAAGTGATAGAAAAGACACAAAACTAGCACAGCTAAGTAGAATATCTATTGTCGGGGACAGTCAATTACACAGTATTTGTAAAAAATATTAATATTTTACCTCAGAATATGGTGACTGACCAATCCAGTTACTTATTTCTTTTCCTGTAGTGTGTCAGTAGGAAAAATCAGTTTACATTTCCAAACATTCCTTTTACCATTAATTGTAATAATCCAGTGAGAATTTAGTAAGCATAAGCAATCTGACAACAGCCGAGACCTTATATACACACTCACCTAAAGGATTATTAGGAACACCTGTTCAATTTCTTGCTCAGTTACTGGGATTTTCACGCACAACCATTTCTAAGGTTTACGAAAAATGGTGTGAAAAGGGAAAAACATCCAGTATGCGGCAGTCCTGTGGGCGAAAATGCCTTGTTGATGCGAGAGGTCAGAGGAGAATGGGCCGACTGATTCAAGCTGATAGAAGAGCAACTTTGACTGAAATAACCACTCGTTACAACCGAGGTATGCAGCAAAGCATTTGTGAAGCCACAACCTTGAGGCGGATGGGCTACAACAGCAGAAGACCCCACCGGGTACCACTCATCTCCACTACAAATAGGAAAAAGAGGCGACAATTTGCAAGAGCTCACCAAAATTGGACAGTTGAAGACTGGAAAAATGTTGTCTGGTCTGATGAGTCTCGATTTCTGTTGAGACATTCAGATGGTAGAGTCAGAATTTGAACATGGATCCATCATGACTTGTTACCACTGTGCAGGCTGGTGGTGGTGGTGTAATGGTGTGGGGGATGTTTTCTTGGCACACTTTAGGCCCCTTAGTTGCATTGTTTGGGTATTGTCTAAATGCCACGGCCAACCTGAGCATTGTTTCTGACCATGTCCATCTCTTTATGGCCACCATGTCCCCATCCTCTGATGGCTACTTCCAGCAGGATAATGCATCATGTCACAAAGCTCGAATCATTTCAAATTGGTTTCTTGAACATGACAATGAGTTGACTGCACTAAAATGGCCCCCACAGTCACCAGATCTCAACCCAATAGAGCATCTTTGGGATGTGGTGGAACGGGAGCTTTGTGCCCTGGATGTGCATCCCACAAATCTCCATCAACTGCAAGATGCTATCCTATCAATATGGGCCAACATTTCTAAAGAATGCTTTCAGCACCTTGTTGAATCAACGCCACGTAGGATTAAGGCAGTTCTGAAGGCGAAAGGGGGTCAAACACAGTATTAGTATGGTGTTCCTAATAATCCTCTAGGTGTGTGTGTATATATATATATATATATATATGTGTGTGTGTGTGTATATAAACACGGAATGGAATTTTGCCTACACATTTTATAACCCAAAAAATGGATAAAAACATGAATAAATAATGAGCATGTGTGTCTCAGACTGGTACTGTAAATCACCAGTTTAATAGATGAACGGAGATAAAAGACACTGCTTGTGTACAGCACATCGACATGGTAACCAGCCATTCCTTGAGCGCTTCCATAGTTACATGCCACATATGAAGAAAAATGACTCTCACACACACTCTAAACAGCACTGGTTTCAGTCGGTTTAAAGACTCACTTTAACGGTTGATTTATTAATCAATTTCCTTTATTCAAATCAGTGGTCAGGCAGTGCGCTACAAACAAAAGAGCAGAAAACAAACAAAAAGACAACAATACCCAGACTTGGCACTTGAAGAATGCGTGTGAATGAAATCAAAGGAGTCGTCACACAGTTTATTCGATGTGAGGAGAACCTGAATGTGTTCAAACCCAAAGCCAAACACAGAAACATCACTGATCCAGCTTCCAAATAGCTGTCACGAGTACAAACACTAAAAATCATCATCATCATTACCGATACCATCATTACTATGTCGTTCATATTACAAACAGGCAGTAAACCGTGACATCATGGCTGCCTTCAGTCTGGGAATGAAGCGTCTGACCCATAAACACACCCATCGGGCGTCCGCGAGAGCCTTCGTTCCCAGACTATTAGATGCAGGGAAGACATGCCAATGACAACAACAAACAGCAAAGAAGAAAACACATGAACGCAAAAATACAAAACGGTAAGAAAAAAAGTCGAGAATGTGAACAACCGCGCGGTTCCTCCGGGGAGCGAAACACGATTGATCGTTAGAACACTAGATAAATGAGTCGATGAAAAGGACGCAGGGTTATTGCAATAGAATATGCGACGCAAGATTATGCACATGTGTGAAACATGCATGAGCTGCCACCAAACACACACTCCTGCTCTCGTGTTTTACGTGTGTGAATCTCACTTCCAGAATCAAAAATAAAAGCAATCGCAATTACATTTGCTTATCCTGTTTATACAATCTTTTTTTTTTTTGAAGGGCATTGTGACATTATTTTCTTGAAAATTACACACATTCACCTCCCAAACTCATTAACATAATGCACACGAACATGTTACTTCCAGATGTTTTGTAATTCCCATTATTCTAGATATAAGATATATATTACTGTATTACAGTAGAAATAGCGTAATACAATTATTTTTACGTTTAGATCAGCATAAAAGGTAGTACAACAAAACCAACAACATTAATGCTAAAAAATGCATTACGGTAATGACTATACTTTTTGCATTACGGTAATGACTTTTCCCCGGTAATGACTATACTTTCCATTACGGTAATGACTATGCTTTTTTTGCATTGTTGTAATGACTATATTTTTATTTTGCATTACGGTAATGACTATCCTTTTTTCATTACGGTAATGACTATACATTTTTTTGCATTGTGGTAACGAAAATGTTTTGTTTTTTTACATTATGCTAATAAAAACGTTGATTTTGTTGAGGAAAATAATGGCACAATGCAAAAAAAATCCTTAACAGGAACTATAACATGATTTTGTAGAGAAACAGACTTGTTTATGAGATTCACCCAGCCAGATGCAGAAATGAGGCTCTAGATTGCAGCTCATAACTGTATGCTAAACACGATCACTTCCCTTTCAAATGGAGTCTGATATTGATACTATCGTTTATGAAGGTCCTTTAGACGGAAAGGAACAACTGATGGAATGACATGAACACAGAGTCTATATTTAAATACTTACTGATGGAGATTTTCATTACTGAAATAAGGCGGACTAACGCTGCATTTAGGGCGTCCTCAGCAATGATATTTGACAAAATAGTTATTTGGGGAAGTTTTCAGGTGAAGCGCACATCCAATAATGAAGCGCACACACACACTGAGATTTAAGACAGATAGTAAGACAGAAAGTAGGCGTTTCAGCAAAAGGATGAACGTCTATGTGTTTGATACCATCGGCCACGATCATTTTCATTAGCGAATTGGCTGCAGCGATTTTTATCATTACAAAACTTATTTTTGTAACAAAGAAACTTTTTTGTTTTTTCTTAAAAATACATCTTTTTATTGTTTTGTCCGTTTACATACACAACATCCTCCTGTTTCTTACTCTTTTTAGAGCGATATTGCTCTTCATAAGGGCCAGACAGGACTCAAAACAAACAGAAGGTCATGATATGGTGGATGCGTTAGATTAGAGGATACACTTTGGCAGCATAAACGAATGGCTTCGTGAGTTTTGCAGCAGTGATACGAACCTTTACATTTGGAATGTCGTACAAACATTAAGCGCTTTTTGGATTGCAAAGGAAGTTCAAGTATTTGATCGTTGTTCTCGAGTGTGTCCGCGAAAAACTGCTGGAAACTTCTGTGTTTACGCTGCCAAAATGCCACCCTGTGACTGGGAGTGTGAGTGCAAGTGTGTGATGTTTTGTGTGTGTATGTGTGTGTGTATGTGTGATTTATCTAACGGTGACGCCTAGCTTCTCCAGAACACGCATGCCCTTCTCCTGGTACTCCTCTCTGGTCAACCAGAAGTTGTCTTTGTCCTTCATGATGTCGGCCAGCACCGCTCCTCCTAAAAACACCATGTGTTTACGGCGTGGAGGATCCTCGATGCGGATCTTAAACTTCTGCAGGAAGAGAAAAGACCACAGATTCAGTAATACGGCAATGCTTTATATGTGCAAAATCACTCTTGATCTTTATGACACAGAAGCAAAAATGCTCTGGTAGTGATTCATCCATTTCAAAATGGCTGATATTTGACATGCGATTATATTTTATTGTTATCGGTTTAATGCATCTGCAGTTACTTTTTCATGGTTGGGGGGAAAAAAAAGTAAAAATGTCCCCAATTCAAAGAGAGTTTAGTTTTTTAAAGTTAGTTAAATTAGTTCATTTCTGACATCATAGTCCATTGATAACCTCGAATACTTGCTAATTGCTAGTGGACAAATGCGTGTTGTAGGATGTCTGTATTCTAGAGAAAGCCTGTGTTAGATGCAAGTATAAGCTGTTTTTGGTACCGAAAGCTTGTCGACATCTCCCTTCAGCACTCTCTCGAGGTAAAGCTGCTTGAGCTCGCGCTCCAGACGGGACGGCAGACCAGGATACATCGTAGAACCGCCCGACAAAACAATGTGTTTGTAAAACTCAGCCCTGGAATAAAGACAGTCAAATATGAGTGTGTATACACATGCACACAACAAATTGTATATAATATAAGAACCATTTTATTATAATTATAAAATATTATTATCTTTATTAAAATTCTACAAATGTAATAGAATTATACATTTTGTGTGTAGAATTTTAAAACTTATTTACAATAGATTTTTTATTTAATTTTTTTATTATCTATTGCATGATGGGTTTGTAAAACACAATACATTTGCTATATTATATTATAAATAAATATATCATACATTGTAACAGATAAAGATATAATTATAATTTAAAGATATAATATTAGACATAAGAATGCAATATTATAATTAGCAAATATTATTAACATTATTAAATATTACAATTATATACTAATTATATATTTGATGTTTAGTTTTTTAAACTTATTTAAAATACTAAACACTATTTTTACAAAAAAAGTATAAAAAATAAGATAATGTTAGACTATATATATAATATATAATATTTAACACTATATAATATATGTAATACATTGTAACAGATAGACATAATAAATAATCATTAAAATATAAAATAAAAATATATTAATATAACCTAACAATGCCAAAATTATAATTATAAAATACTATCAACATTATTACATTTTTTATAACTATAAAATTATACACTAATTGTATATTTTATGTGTATTACTTTAAAAATTATTTTTTAAAATATTATAGAAAATTATATTTAAAAATGTATAGAAAAATAGTATAATATGACATATATATATTACGTCATACCCAACACTATAAGGAACACTGAGTGTTAAAAGTATGTGTCTGAAGTGACCTGGTGTCAATGTCGGCTGCCTGGATGGTGTTGAAGAGCAGTTCGGCTACACCCACTCCCTCCACATTAATGAGGTGAGGCTGGAACAGAGCTTCAGGAGCCTCGAAACGCTCGCCGCCCACTTTAATCAGCCTCCCGTCCGGCAGCTGCAAACACAGAGGAGATTCACTTCACACGCTGTTCTGCCCTCTAGTGGCAACTACAGCCAAAACAAGGCATTATTGTTCCAGTCTACCATTGAGATGGTTCATTATATCTTATAATGCTCACTAGATCGTATGTATTAATACGAACCGTGTAAGACTCCACCAGCACGGTGGTCTCCAGCGCAAGCTTCTGCTCCTGCTCGATGTTATAGCCCACGTAACACAGCTTCTCCTTCATCATCCTCACCGTCTCGAAGTCCGCCGAGTGGTTGAAGGCGTAACCCCTCAACAACAACAGCTGGAGACACACCGAGAGCGTTTCATTACATTTAGCCTGGACATTTCTCTGGGGAGTCCACCTATGAGAGCTTATTAACAGCTGGCTACAGTGTTGCTATCGTTAACTGGAAACAGAACTATTAAAAACAAAATGTGCGGAAATTATGTGTTAAGAACACAAACACGGTGATTACAATACACACTAGATTGGCATGTTGAGCGGACTCGCTAACTTTCTCCGATAGAAGCTTCTCACTGATATGGGAATATTACACTAAATGTATTTGGAATGGATTGAGTGAGACTGATGAAAAGATGTATATATATATATATATATATATATATAGAGAGAGAGAGAGATGTACCTTGATGAGGTAGCGCGTGATGTCTCTTCCAGCGATGTCCAGACGGCGTGTGAGATGAGGAAGTGAAAAGCCTTCATACACTGGACAGATATGAGTGACGCCGTCACCAGAGTCCACCACCACACCCGTCAGCAGACCTGCAGAGACGTTCACAAATTTCAACTCGAGACTGTACTCAAGTTTCATTTTTTCATCTATAATAATACTTTATTATATTTAATAGTATTTAACTATCGTTTTTATATCTTATATTATATAATTTCATATTTATTTGTATTGTATTGCATTTATTTTATTTACTACTTTTAAATGATTAAATATTATAGATATATTAATCATTTATATGTATATATTGATTTTGATATATATTCATTACTATATATAACTTTTTATTTCTATTATTATTTAGTATTATATACCTTATATATTTATTATACTGTATATTCATGCATTTATTATGTTTATTATGGATTATTGATATTTAGTATTATATCTATTACTCTTGTTATATTTTATTTAATATTTATTACATTTAATATTTATATATTGTATTTAATATTTACTATATTTATTATATTTAATACTATTTAACTATCATTTTTATATATTATATAATTTTTATATTTATTATTTATTTGTATTATATTGTATTTATTTTATTTACTACTTTAAACTTTTTTAAAATATTATAGACATATTAATCATTTATATATATATATATATATATATATATATATATTACTATATATAGCTTTTTATTTTTTATTATTATTTAGTATTATATACCTTATATATTTATTATTTATTATATATTCATGCATTTATTATGTTTATTATGGTTTATTGTTTATATACACACACACACACATATATTTATTTATTTTTACATTATATGTATTATTTATGTTGTATTTAATATTTATTATATTCATTACTTTATCTTATAATCTTTTAGATTTATTACTCTTGTTATATTTATTTAATATGTATTACTTTTAATATTATATAAATGTATTAATTACTTTTTATATATTATACATCTAATATTTATGATATATTTATATATCATATATAATATTTACTAGTTTTATTTCATAATTCTCTCTCTCTCTCTCTCTCTCTCTCTCTATACCTCGCAGTCTTTTTCAGTCTCTATAATCATCATTGCATGTTGTAGTGAAGAAACAAACGTTTTGGGCTCTTCCCATTGGCAGGTTCAGTACCTTGAGCGTAAAGCGTGAGCACGGCCTGGATGGCGATATAAACCCCTGAGAACTGATAGGTCTCAAACATCACCTGAAGGGAGCGAAAATAAACCACATCAACACAAACCTCAGTGAGGTCCACCAGAGGTATAGTATAACGCAACAAACAGCCGCTCAGACCTCGATGATCTTCTCTCGGTTCTTGGTGGGGTTCATGGGCGGCTCCGTGAGCAGGATCTTGCAGTTTCGCGAGTCGATGTTGAGCTTCTCGGGGCCGAAGGTGTAGTCCCACAGGTGCTTCATGTCGTCCCAGTTCCTCACGATCCCGTTCTCCATCGGGTAGTTCACCTCCAGCATGGAGCGCAGCTCGCTCGCCTCGTCGCCCACCATTAGATCCTACAGGTCACGGACGAGAGGTCAAAGGTCAGTAGGCTCAGTACAATGTTATCTTTCACTTCGAGCTGAACGGAAGCAGTCCATTAAGTGTTATATGGGAAAATAATCTAGTAATTTCATTCCATCAATGTATTTTATGCAATTCACTCTAATGAAACTCTTCTGGCAGCAACAACATTAAAAGCACTGCAATCCAGTCATTAAAAGTGAGTAAAAGTCTGCAACTAGAGAGAAGGTTGATGAATGTACCAGGGTTGCCATCCGTTTTGATGTTGTAAATTAGTATTTGAACCTGATTTCTACAGGTTTTTTGAGGATGAAGAACCCTGTGTATCCTCTTTAGACACAGCACACTCGAACGGTGCATTCTGGGTAATGTCAAACATCACTCACATTCAAGCAAGAGCATTTCATCAGGGTTAGAACGAGAGAAATTGTTAGTTTTTGACTCTCGGCCATACAAACACTTACCATCCGTCTACAAACCTACAGGAGCAGAGAACAGCAGAGGAAGTGATGTAAACTGATGCAGGATCAGTGCTCGTATCGCACTCACAGAGCCACGACATGCCTTTTATTCATTTCAAACATCATTCAAAAATTCATGGAAACAAAGGAAACCTATATATTCAAGGCATTCATTACAGTGTTTTTTTAGCATAATTTATTTATTTTTTTGTTAAAGTTTTAAGTCCGTTTTTGTCTTTATATTTTCCATTTAATTTCAGTAATTTTCTCAACGTAGTTTACAAAAGTAGTGGTTACAAGAGGCAAAAACGATATAAATACAGTTCGTTTTCTCACACAAACCGCTCGTTTCGTGTCTTAGGCCATCAATGTGTACTTACATTTACGAGTCATTAAATCATGTTTAATTTGGACTTCTCTGTGCATGCTCTTTGAGGTGGTGACCATAGACCTCCATTATATGACTGACAGACAAGAACGGTTTGACCTAAAAATATCAAAATTGAAAATACTGTGGAAACAAAGACACCAACATCTTGGATGCTCTTGAGGTAAAAATTAAATTTCAAAGTGAACTATCCCTTTAAAGCGAACTCTGGTGCGATTGATCTGTTAGTGCGGTTCACTTGAATAAGTGTGAACGCTGCCGTCTGAACCCTGGTGCATCAAACTAGAGGAGCGTGACGCTGAAAAGATGAGTCTCAATCCGCCTTCATACCAACTCTGGTGCGGTTCGACTGAAATATGAAGGCAACACGGACCAAACACATGTAAATCAACCAAAAACAGGACGTGATGTCACAAGGTGTGACCATAAAAAGGACAGAATGCTCAAGAATACCTGTTTTTTTTCTGAATATTAATATTGACAGGAGGAGAGTGGAATAAAGTAAGTGATCAGCAGGACTTGTAGTCAAAACGATAAGCATACACTGCTTTGTTTATGGTTCGTGTATCTGCAGCGTTGGTTTCCCTTTGAATGATGAATATAGAGGAGTATATCTGCAGAAATAGACCGTTTTATTTTAATTTTTATTAAACTTTACCTTGATCTCGATGTTTCCCACTTTGGCAGTGGAGCGGATGATCGGTCTCCCCACCAGAGCTGGAAAAATGTGCTCCGGGAAATTAGAGCCGGCATATCCGCACTTCACAAACTGAAAGACGGACACAGAGAGTTACATCATTACAAATATCACCAATCAGAAGGAAAAAAGGGGGGAAACTATTAAAACTAAGTGCTAAACTAAAATTAAAATCGAAAATGTTTAATTTTGTTCCTATTCAAAACATCAATAATAATAATAATACAGACCAGAGAAAGTCAGCTAGTCATTAAAAATCAGAAACAAAGCAAAAGATCAAGATGCTTCTATACATTTATCAGAAACATTAGTGTGCACTTCATGACAAACAACAAAATTAGGTGACAAAACAATCATGTGTAACAATAAAACGGCATATGCCATAGTAAATACAATACATCTAACCTAACGTTAGGCTGAGAAAGTCTCACATTTATTGAGTTGTTTCCTCCTTTTGTGTGTACTATGGTAATACCATGTCCTTTAGCCTTTTTCTACAGTAAAGGCATGTTTTGTGAATATTTACCACTAAATATGAACATAAAATCATGCCTTTGGGGCCATTACCATAAAAATAGGTTGTTCTGGACATTTAGTGTTTTTCTCGACATATAATACTATGGTAGTACAGGAAATTCACCATAATAAAATTTGAAGTAACTTTGTGTATCATTTGACTATCATAACATTATCATTTGTTATCAGACAGCGAGAGAATGATGATGGAATGTGTTTCTATGGTTTGTCTGGTATGTCACTTCCTCTCTCGGCCAGATGTGAGATTACAAACTCGGAAGTGAGTTAGAGATCATCTTTATCTTTGCTTTTACAGACACAGATACTCAAGCATCATTGACATAAACGTGCATAGACATGTAATTTAATCAAAAATGCAAGCTCACACTACGACTTCATTAAAATATAAACCAAAATATCTGTAAACGTCTATCATGTCAATAAATATACACAGCTCATTCAAAACATCCACATGCAAAACCATTAAAATCGTATCGTGATCTATGACTGTTGAACATCTGATCAGTGATATTTCCACATTTCAGGTCGTGTGTAAATCACAGATAATCACAGTGTAAAATAAGGTGCTTTCAGTTCACTTCCTGTTCCGCTGCATCTTTCTCCTGCAAGCCGTCATTTAAACACACACAAGCGCAAAATAAAACATCCTTCAGACCGGACAGAGCCGTAGGAGGTCCGCTCTCACACTCACCCCGGTCCCGTTGTCACACACCACCACTTTTCTGCCTTGACTGTCCATGTTTCTACAGACTCTGCGAATCCGCCCTAATCTCAGCGCTGCTGCCGCTGTCTTCGGCCAGCCGGAAGTCACTCAGCGCCCCGCCCTTCACATCCCTTTAAAATAAAAGTCCGCCACGAAGCTTCAAAACAAAAGCAGTTATGTGGCTACAAAATAAAAGCTTTTAACCATTTTAAATAAATGTAGCACCTACAATGTGTCAACCTCTTTCACAAATTTATTTCATTTCAAAACCCAGATTGTTTTTGCAATTCACAAACCAAAATATCTATTACAAAATGCCCTTACGTGAAAATCAAGCTTTTAATGTTGTTTATGTGTCTATGTGATGTTTTTAAAGTCCCCGTGAACCGGAAGTTGCAAACGATTTTTCTCCAGTGCTGTGACGTATTTCCAAGTGAAACGGAATATTGAACAGAGGGCAGGGTTTTACTCTAGCGCTCCTCCTCTCCATCTCTCGCTCATAGCAAACTAACGGTTTGAGAGGAGTGGTTAAGCGTTTCCCCACCCAATTTGTGAAGCCTACGTCATCAGAAAAAGAAACCGTTCCAGACCGGAAGTAACTTTTCAGATTTTGATTAAAGATTACTAAGGTAAAACATTTTTTTAATATATATTCACTTGCACGGATTAATTGTTTACCACAAGACTAGTAATATGCGCTAACAAAGTAAATAGGTTCAATTTTGATTTCACGGGGACTTTAATATGATTTAAGACAATTCATAAGTCAACATCATTCCTGAGTATTGTTGTTCTTAAAACTGCAGTGAATCAAAGAAAGTCTCAAAAACGCAGTTTGAAATTGCTGTTCACAAACTATCTTGTAACCAATCAGGTCAACGTGTGGATCTATGAGCTGGTGTGAGTGAGTGGAGAGGAGACAGGCCTCATTTGCATATTCATGGAACAGTGTATACTAAATGAGAAGGTAAAAAGTTTAAATATGTACTTTTGGTGATCAAAGACTACAGGGGGACTTTAAAATAAAAAAATGGGATTTATTAATATTCACATGAACTCTATAGATGAAAAAGTATTAATAATATTTTCTTTGCTACACACTGTAAATATTGCTAAAAATAATTGGTTTGAGTAGACAACTTAAATTTGAACAAATTAGTTCAATCAAATTAACTTTTGAATATTTATTTAGTGTCTCAAGTTTTTTATGAACTTGTTTCTTTTAATTTAGACAAACTTAAATTTAACCTAAACTTAAATGCTTTAAAACCATGACACTCAAAAGGGAGAGTAAATACTAAAATTAAGTGTTATTTAATGTTTGTTTGTTTGTGCAAGATTCATTTTAGGTGGGAGATTTGGTAGTGCTTATTTTTTTTGCTATGCTAATTTAGAAGAATACTCAAATATTTCATGTTAAGAGCAATTAAAATGTATGAGCACACAATAGAAATCTGCAAGTTCAGCTCACTTACACTTTGAATATCTTCTTAACTTAAAGAATGTTTATGTAACTGATAAGCAACTTATTTTGTAATTGAGTTTTGCCAACTTATTCAGGTTTTACAGTGTAACTAAATATGGTCTGTTGCATTTTTTTGTTTGTTTTTTCCCCCCATTCTCTCCCATGATCTTTCAGATCAGACAACTGGGGCAGGACTCCTTAAGAGCTTACCGATGACAAGTCACAAAAAAAATAATCATACTTTTCTTTGGTCTAATTTTAACCGACTTTAGTTAAAATTACACCAAAACCTCAAAAGCAAGCATGCCAGCAGCTCTCCTGTTCAATGGATGCATAAAATAGATAAAAATGCACAATAATTGATAAAAAATAGACAACTCAGTTCAAACACTGTTGTTTAAAAATACCTGAAGTTATTTTAAGGATACTCAATTGTAAGCAATTTACTTCTCTCTTACATTTAATTCCAAATCTGAAAAAAAAAAAAAGAAAAAAAATTCATACAGAGGTAATTCACCCTCTTGTCCACTGGTCCTTTTGAGCATATATGTTCAAGAGAGAGAATCCAAAAAAAAAAAAATATACAATCAAATATCTATTATAATTAAATACCGATTGTTCAAACAGTGACAGCAGTTCAGCTTCATTCGGTGCATCCACAGACGATGTAAAAATAAAATTAACAGCTTAAATAAGATTGAACAGTAACAGATAATTTGTTTGACCTGAACAAGCAAAAGCAAACCAGACATCAAATATTCAGACAGCTTCCAGCATCAAACTCCCAGAGGTACAACGGCCGTGATTCCCCATTAAATATACATTTAAATAAGAGAAAGCTGTAAACTGATGACAAACGAAACACAACGACTTCAAACAAAAACACACAGTTGATATTTACAATATACACGACTTAGATACCATACAGGCATACCATACAGCAACCAGAGGTTTTCTCAAAGTCGAAATGACCCATAATCCCTGTTATAGAGCACAGTCTCAGAGTAGAGTACCCGTTTACCTTCATAAAGAGCGACACACCAGCAGGACCATGTGTTCAGTGTGTGAGACAAACAGGAGGAAGTAAAACCTCAGTGTGTATGAGGCCGAATTGGTGGTGAAAATTGACCTAATCATTTATAATGTACATCTAATTTACCGAAGAAATGTAGGTGTCACCCCAAAATTATAGTACGCATACAGAAAATAAACCATATTTTTAGAATTATTACATTTTTACACCTCTTACATTTTATCACCATAATGCAAAACATGCTTATACTGTAATGCAGTGAATTAAAATCAACTAAAACTTGCCATAAAGACAGTCTACATTTCAATAATGTAGCTTTTTTGCTTTGTTTTTGGCATTGCGGTAATGATAAATAGGTGGAAAAAGGTGTTTAACTCATGAAAATAATTCTAAAAATACACATTTTCCTAAATGCAACACATAAATTGTTGGTTCTGAAACATGACGTAGACAGAGATTCTCAACGTTATATTCATACGCGAGGAACAGCAGTTTCATGAAGTTCAGTGCAGTCTGTGTCGCACGCCGTACGTCCTCACAGGAGCACAAACTCATCTGTGCTTCCTCTCTTATTGTTCCTACTCGTTCTGTTGCATGAGAAAATGTTTGCAGGACCGTCCATGGAGTCGGCGCTCTGCCCCTCCAGTCCGTAGCTCTGTCCCATGCCCTCCACAAATGTAAAGATGGGGTACTTCTCTTTAGACGACGACAAAGCCTGAAAACAACACCAAATATGGTATTATAATGTCCCTAATTAGTGAGTAATATTATTTAAAGTCCAAGCCTTTAATGTTGTTTATATGTCTATGTAATGTTTTTAATTATGCTTTAAAAGGGTCATATGATGCGGTTTTCTTGTTTTCCCCCTTGTGTTCTCTGGTGCATGTATGCAGAGTTTCAAAGCTCAAAGTCTCAAACCTAAAGAGATATTCTTTATAAAAGTTAAGATTTAGCCACGCCTTAGTAAAATGTTTCGTTCCAACGCGGCCTCACAAATCATGTCGTGGAGACGCTGGGTTTTTCCGTTGCGAAAGCCAAACTACTTTGTAAGGCCTTCCAAAAGAGAACTTTTGCTGATAATTTACTCACCCCCATGTCATCTAAGATGTCCGTGTCTTTCTTTTTTCAGTCGAAAAGAAATGAAGGTTTTTGATGAAAACATTCCAGGATTTTTCTCCATATAATGGACTTCAATGGGGTCCAAACGGTTCAAGGTCAAAAAGACAGTTTCAGTGCAAACTACAAACTGTTCAAAGGGTTTTAAACGATTCCAGACGATGAATAAGGGTCTTATCGAGTGAAACGATCGCTCATTTAATAAATAAATAACCAAGTTTGAGTTTTATAAGCTCAAATGGTCGCCTTGCTCTGTTCTGAGATGCGCGTTCGTGACTCTCCTGTTTGAACTCGTTCATCAAAATGAATGAATCTTTTTCCGTGGCGCCTGGTTCATTCAATCAACGAAACTAACAAATTGACTCGGAAAAAGATTGTGATATCTAGTGTGTAGTGTGTGATAACTCTATTTAATCGCAAATAATTGCACATCAAATATGGCTGAGAAATTACCTTGAAAGTCATTATTGCTAACATTGCAAAAATTAGCTTTAGAAATGTTTTTATTTTTTATTTTATTCAACCTAAGGTGAGAATTTTCATTTTTGGCTGACCTATACCTTTAATGCGTTGTTTATTAATATGGATGTTTTTATTCATATAATTTTTATGATGGTAGTAGGTGGCGGTAAATGTCTAAATGAGTCATGACATTCATTGGATTCGTCATTCAAATGGCTGATTCATTCGTAAATGGCTCCCTTTATGAATAAGCCACTGAATCATTGGTTCACCCGATCGATTTGCTCAAAACGCGAATTCATTCAGAAACGAAACGCCGCTGTATGTTGGTCAGAGACTCACAACAGTTCTGCTCTGGCTTTATAGGTAATATTGGAAACATTTAGCATAGGCAGACAATATTGTGTCTAAAATAAAACACAATATTCTTATTTATTGAATAAATAAAAATCACACTCGTGCTATTCGGGACAAAAACGTAACTTATGTGAAATTAATTGCGTTACTCGTGTGATATTGCTTAACTATATCATGATACCAATATGAGACAAAAAAAATCATAGAGGGGGATTTTTGCCCTGATATCTTAAATTTTAGGGGAATTCTAGAAAATTTAGAAAGTCTAGCAAAAATATTTTATTTTATAAAGTGCATACTAGTGCAAAAAACTGCAAAGTGTAAGTGAGTTAAAGGAGAGATGAGCACGAGCAAACGTTTTCAGCACACTGCTTTCTTCAGTGCTCACCTTCACCTTCAGTACACTTTTATCAACTGCTTTGTTCGTCTGCATTGACTTTTTTGCCTTTATCCACCAGAAGCAAAGGATTTTTACCTAGTTGGATCACAACAATTCCTTCTAGTGTTACTGATTTAAACAAGACACTCACATCACTGACCGCTGAGCACAACGTCTCAAAGTCTTTCTTCGTCTGTGCGTAGAACCCGATGGTACAGCTGGGATCCATACGACTGAAGTTCATCTTCCTGGGCGAGTTACAGTGAAAAGACTACGAGAGAAACGAGAGACTTCAGCTACATACAAGACTTTGAAATTATAAATATTATAATGTTTTATTTCTTTTTCTGTACGAATTAAGAGGGTAGCTTTTCGGGCTCACCTCCAGGGAGAAGTTGCCTTGGGTGACGTCCACCACCGGCTGACAGTAGTGTGGGTCTAGATACAAGAGCTGGTCATCTGGAAGACACACAGCAGCCAATCAGAGAACAGACAGCAACCAATCAAAACATAGTTCTTAATAGCCACATACCTTGAAAGCCAATAAAAAACAGAGAGTGCTTGGGTTTCCCTCCAATAATACCTATACAGCAGTTTAACTTGAGAATGTTCTAGAAAAGAAGAGATTGTTTATTTAAAACAAATGTCAACATAAGGCCATTTATTTAAGTAATTAATTAAATATAAAATTAAATTCATTATTTTGCCCAGTTTGCAAAGTGTTTTAATTACTATACAAGCTTGTTTCTACCATGGAATAAAATAAATAAAATTGAGTTAAAAAAAAGTTTACATCTCACAATTCTTGACTTTTTTTCTCAGAAATGCTCGTTTATATCTTGCAATTCTGAGTTTACGTTATAAAAAGTCTGAATTAAGAGATATAAACTCAGAATTGCAAGACATAAACTAGCATTTCTGACAAAAAAAAAAAGTCAAGAATTGTGAGATAAAAAGACGCAATGACCGTTTTAATTTTGTAATTCCATAGCGGAAAAAAAGAATTGTGAGATGTAAATTTGCAAAACCCTTTTTTTAAACTTAATTTTATTTATTTATTTAATAAACTCAGAATTGGCAGGAAAAAAATTCAGAATTGTGTTCAGAAATCAGAAAAGTAAAAACAATTTACCCAGTGGCGGAAACAAGCTTTCATAAAATATCTACTGTATATTTTTATTTTCAAACAAAGTCATATTTTTTTATGAATTGATGTGCAGTACATGTACCTTAACACACTCAATGTAAGAGGGGTTTAAGGAGTCTCCTCCGAGCCGCACTGGCACTAGAATGATGACTGATTTCCATCCTGTGCCGCCGGACTCACACAACCCCACGACATCTCCTTTATACACTGCAGCACACACACACACACACACACACACAGAAGCAGAAGTATGAGCTAAACATTTACGAGATAAAGTTTCAGTTTCACTGACAGTTTTTGCCAAATGATCACATGATTCACGAGACTCACCCGTGCAGTCCTGAGCCACGTATACAGCAAGGCTGTGAAACTCAGGGGTTCTAGCCACTGCTTTTCTGGAAGAAGAAAACATTAAATAAGTCATACGTCACGCAGTTCAGTTCAATGTACACTGACGTTCATTTGCTCTCCTCTCACCTCAGCATATGTGCCACTACGGATGGGCCGTACCAATCCCCTGCCCTCTTCCCGGACTCCTTTCCCAGCTCCACCAGCTGGTGGACTCCAAACGGAGCCGAGGGATGGTCTCCAAACCAGGACACCAACTTCCTGTGTAACGCCTCCTCCTGAGGGTCAGCTCTGGCTGCAGGGCATTGCTCAGGGGTCCGTCTGTGACCCTCAGCACTGCCAGAGCCGGGGTCCCGCTGGGAAACGGGGGTGGTCCAGGAAGAACTAAAGGAAGGCAGGGACATGCCAGCCGGGCGGGAAGGAGAGCGGGGCTTCAGCACCTCAAAATCAACGTCTGACAGCGGATGACAGTCCGACCACCTCCAGTCTGGGATATAGAGAGAAGCATGTATGCAGTTATATAGGCCAGTGTTTCCCAACCCTGTTCCTGGCGGCACACCAACACTGCGTGTTTTCTTTGTCTCCCTAATCAAACACACCCGATTCAACCCATCAGCTCATTAACCCACCTGATTATGAGCTGATGGGTTGAATCAGGTGTGTTTAAAAAGGGAGACAAAGAATACACGCAGTGTTGGTGTGCCGCCAGGAACAGGGTTGGGAAACACTGATATAGGCGTTCAAAAGCTTGGGGTCAGTAAGATTTGTTTTTTTGTTTTAAGAAATGAATACTTTTATTGAGCAAGGATGCATTAAATTGATCAAAAGTGACAGTAAAGACACTTATAATGTTACTAAATATTTATATTTCATAATATTGATCTTTCTATTAATCAAATATTCCTGAAATAAAATGCAGCGTTGTTTTCACAAAAATATGAAGCAGCACAACTGTTTTCAACATGGATAATAATCATAAATGTTTCTTGAGCATCAAATCATCATATTAGCATGATTTCTGAAGGATCACTAAAGACTGGAGAAAAAATGACGCTGAAAATTTAGCTTTGATCACGGAAATAAATTAATTAGAAAATATTAGAACACAGTTCTTTGAAGTTGTAATAATATTTTTTTAAAATCCTGTATTTTTTATCAAATAATGCAGGCTTGGAGAGGAAGAGACTTCTTTCACAAAATGTAAAAAATCTTACTGACACCAAACTCTTGAACAGTAGTGGATATGTTTAAATATATTTATATATTAATACACTTTAACAGACTATATTTGTTATGATTATGTATGGTAAATAAAAGTAATTATATCAAATTAAGCAAAGTCAGGGAGTTTTGAAAACTCTTTGCATCTGCTTTATTGGTTGCACTTTATTTTACAGTAAGTGCACTATCAATGTACTTAATACTAAGTACATAATCCCCCGGTCTCAAAGAAAAGGCTTAAGCTAGTCTCAGACTAAAATGCATGTTTATAAAAGCTACTTAAATGTCCTAATTAAACCAAGGCCCAATCCTGGCCCTGTCTGTGAAACCAGGTCATGCATAACAGGACTGTAAAATAAAGTGCTACTGCTTTACTTCCTGCATTTAATTCACATGCAGATCAACAAATGTGAAAGTAGCTGAGACCTGTGGGCAGAAGGTGCAGCAGTAACCCCTGTGCCAGCAGCATCTGTCCACTGCGCAGCATACAGCCCCAGCCACAGTCTGTGGTCAGACTCGATCCCTCCAGCTGAGGAAACTCCCTCCTGTAGGTGAGCCACACGCACGACACAAACACCTGCCGGAAACGCTCCACCTCGTCTGGGAACGAGACGGCATCTCAGTACAACAGAATCACATTCTTTTAATTATTGTTGTGATAATTCGAGCTCAAGTCAAGCTCAAGTCCAAGCTCAAGTCAAGGTCAAGTCAAGTTCAAGTCCAAGTCAAGTCCAAGTCAAGCCCAAGTCAAGCCCAAGTCAAATCAAAGTCAAGCCGAAGTCAAGCCCAAGTCAAGCCCAAGTCAAGCCCAAGTCCAAGTCAAAGTCAAGCCCAAGTCAAGCCCAAGTCAAGCCCAAGTCAAATCCAAGTCCAAATCAAAGTCAAGCCGAAGTCAAGCCCAAGTCAAGCCCAAGTCCAAGTCAAGCCCAAGTCAAGTCAAGCCCAAGTCAAGCCGAAGTCAAGCCGAAGTCAAGCCCAAGTCAAGCCTAAGTCCAAGTCAAGTCCAAGTCAAGTCAAGCTCAAGTCAAGCCAAGTCAAGTCAAGCCCAAGTCAAGCCCAAGCTCAAGTCAAGCTCAAGCCCAAGTCAAGCCCAAGCTCAAGTCAAGCTCAAGCCCAAGTCAAGCCCAAGCTCAAGTCAAGCTCAAGCCCAAGTCAAGCCCAAGCTCAAGTCCAAGCCCAAGCCCAAGCTCAAGTCAAGCCAAGTCGTCCAAGTGAAGCCCAAGCTCAAGTCAAAGCCCAAGCTAAAGTCAAGCCTAAGTCAAGCCCAAGTCAAGTCCAAGTCAAGCCCAAGTCAAGCCAAGTCCAAGTGAAGCCCAAGTCAAGTCCAAGTCAAGCCCAAGCTCAAGTCAAGCCAAGTCAAGTCAAAATCAAGCTCAGGCTTAAGCTTAAGTCAAGTCACCTTTATTTATATATAATATATATAGAGAGCTTTTTACAATACAGATTGTTTCAAAGCAGCTTTACAGTGACAACAAGTGTTTACTCACCTTCACTATTGAACAGATAAGACTGACCCAGGAGGAACAGAGGGGAGGTCTTGTTGAAGGTAGTTTTAGATTTCACGGTCCAGCCTGGGAAAATGAAGACAGGAACTTACTGGGATACAGTCAATGATATTTGATTTGTGGCTGGTTTTGAACATCTGACTTCAAAAATGACCCAGGAAAAAAAGGGAACACCCATTTGTGTCATTATTTTGTGTCAGTCCTAGAAACCAGTTCTCAATCATGCGCATGAAAACCAACCATATTTGACGTTGTTCCAGGCCGAAATGAATTTGGCTTTCAGGCGATCCACTTCATCGGGCTCTTCTCTGATGGCGTCAGGCACTGGCCCGTGGCCGTTGTGGTGTCGGGACTGGGCCGAGGGCCTGTCATCGTGAGCTCCAGCGCCCACCACGTACTGAACACCATTGGGAGACACGGAGTTCATGGTTCAGGCTGGATACAGCAGCATTACAGAAAAACGTCAGCCTGAAAGACAGTGAAAGTAAGAGAAAATGTGAGGGGTTCCTTGGTAGATTTTTTATATCATGAGGAATCAATAGTGAAACAGAGCAGCTGTGCTATGAAATCACAGACTCTATTATGACTTCTCTAGTCCAAAAAAAGCATTTACAGAAACTAAGATGCAGAAATGGCTCATTAACGTGACCCTCGCTCCCACTCACATAATGCATATTGCCTATGCATATTGATGATGGTAATTAATATAAAAAATATGGTTAAAAATAAGGAATGCAAAATATATCTCTACCACATCCGTTTGTTTAACGTATTGTTCAGCTGATAATGGATATTTAATTGTTGATAAAAGATCAAATGACCTTGATCTTGCTGACTGCGATGTGACGTCACAATAGACACTATTCAAACTAGAAAGCATTCTTCTGTGTGTTACACAAACAGAAAACAAGCTGTGTGGGAAATGAATCGGTCACATGAGACCTTACTGAGGACAGGTGTGGTGACTGTGGGAGGGCCACGAGAGTTCAAGCACACTAAACAAAAAGGAATATGACTTCCCTTTACTTTGTTCTCTCAAGGAAGTTTGAGCTTACAGTAAAACGGCGGGAAATGAGGCAACGTCGTCCATTCAGATTTAGACAAAACGTCATTGCACAATAATGCAAATTCTAAAAAAAATTCCACTTCATTTTAGAGCGCTAGACTGCTTGGACAAAGTCATGTGACCAGCAAAAAAAGGTCATTACAATGCATTTAGCCTACTACAATAATTAAATAATACTAATACTGCATTATGCACACACTGTATGTGCAGTTTATGTGCAAAATACTTGCCTAATTTATTACATATGTCATAATGTGTAGATTACACCGTTTTCCACAATGCAATGCGCTTGACATCAACCATTTTTTGACTACCAACTAGACTGCAGCTTATTGAAGTCACCTGACAGCATTTTAGCTTTTATTTCAAACTAATGTTTGAAACGTTTTGTGTCACATGCTGCCTAATGTTTCACATAGCGTTGTGGAAATGAGTAGGCATTATACAGTATAGACATAGTGCAGTATGAAGTACGCTAGTATTTCAATTCGGACACAGCCTAAGAGGAAAATCCATTTTTTTTTTTTTTTTTTTTGTGGCTGAATGTGTAATAATTTTAATTGGAAATAACTAATTAGTTTTTCGCAAACCAAGTAATCGACGAATAGCAGTCACGATACAGGTTTTAACGCCATTAAAATACACAAATAATAATGCAGCCTGATTCCGGTGATTGTATGAAATATTTAAAAATTAAGTGTGATGACGGATATCACGTATCTTGAAATGCATACACTCCAAAAGTCATTTTTAACAGCCAGACTAAACATTTGAAAGCTTGGCCGGGTTACCTTCACGTTAGACCCGGCATGTTTGATGTTCCGGGTATTTTACCGACTTTTCCTATAAATAGTCCACGGCGTCCAGCTGCACGAACGCTCGTCTGGATGTCGGCAAGGACAGGCGCTGTGAGACCGAGCTCAGGCCTTCTCAGGAGCCGTAATCTCGGCGAGTATCGATTAAAGCCGCAGTCATGAGTTCCTTCTTCTATACAATCATACGCGTCGGTCGAACTGTCAGCTAAGAGATGAATAGTATATAAATCAGTGAGAGATTATACCAGTACGCAACCTCTTCCTGTTGTCATTGCGGATACACACCCTCGCTCCGCCCACCAGGCGATCTGATTGGCCAGGTTAGACAGTTGCCGTTTGATGATTGGACGACATACACGTACGAGAAACTGTAGTCAATGAATTCTGAATTATTTATTTATTAATTAAAATATGTAGCTACATACCATATGATTAAATTAATAGAGTGAATAAATTAAAACAGCATTAAAAGGAAAGAAATTATGCAGCTGGTAAAATTGTTTAGTCTTTTGAAAATATGTAAGAAATAAATCCTACATAGGGTCATTTGTTAACCTTTTTATTTGGTTAGACATATTTTACATTCATGGGCAAAAAAAGAAAGTCGAGATTTCCCATTAAAATCCTCTGAATGTTAAAAAAAAAAAAAAACATACTCTAAATTCTAGTAAAAAAAACTAAAGGGTCATGTAGAGTTATACTTTGTTTACATTTAAATTTAAATTGAGTAAATTCTGCTTGCAGAGAACTAATAGCATCATCATTGTGTACATCACTCTGGTTTTTGTATTTGTAAAAGGTCAGTTTCAGCACTGTTAACTAATAATTCGTAACTCGTACTGTGATAAAGGAGGACAAAAGCTCAGTGACCAAAGGTCTATGCTGACTTGACCAAAAAAAAAAAAAAAAAAAAAAAAATCCATCAATGCCTTAACTTTCCTGAGTGAGTTTAGTATTATTCTCTAAAGCAAATAAAACAAGCATGAAATTTTATACAATACATCTTTATTAATTGACTACACACACTGCACCTCAGTTAATGGACATCTGCATTAAGTAAAGTGATGTACAGAACCAAATAAATAGAAATAAATTACAGATTCGTTTCAACGCAACCTGTCCAAAACGCCACACATAGGCCTACACGGTTCTCTTCATTTCTCCAATAGGACGTTCGTCATACAGAATATGTTTATGTCTTTATTTTCCTCTATGTACAGTATTGTACAGAATTTTGGACAGTTCATTAAAGCAACGTATAAAATAACTATATCCGACATGAAATAAAGTGCATTCTCAAAAGATCACATCTTGTAGGTAATTACATTAAAAACAGAAATTTTCTCAAACAAACACAAGCACTTAAGAATACATTTTGACATACGAGTGGACAACATACTTTAAATATTCTTGTTTTTCAGTTCACTTTGTGAATCTATTCAAAAGCAAAAAAGACAGGGTTAAACTGTGCAGATTAACTGAACATTATAAAACATTAGTTGGTTCCTCTCATATTCAACTATAACAGTCACATGGTATAAAGTGGACACATTCAGGCCAGTGAAGTGAGAAGTCATGCATGGGAAAGGAAGAACGGCAACTATGCGTTTTTGTGGATTGTTACAAACATAACATTAGATATATTAACACATTCACCCAAAATCTTTACATTATTTTATGCATATGTCATCATCACTTCTCCGTTTCACTGATATATCCAAATAACTGTGTGTTGACTTTCTGTATGATACAATAAATAAACCTATTATGCTTTTAATCGATATTAAGAAATCTTCACTAACACCAAAATCAGAAATGAAACAGCAAAAGATATCTGAAATGAACGAGATAAACCTCGTCAGAATACATTTACGGAAGGATTAATAGATATCTGAATGTCTATCCAATGGCATTATCATGCTACAGTATGAAATACAAATAAATAAAGCACTCTTGGTCTTGTCACTGATTGCTCCTACTCCTACTACCACCATATACTGTAACTATAAGGTGTACAAACTTGACAGTGTCCCTGTCAGCCATCAGATGGCAGTATAACCCAATCTATAAACCTTATTCACAGTAGCGCTATCTATGATTTTTAGCGGGAATGAAAGCGAGGCTGTGAGGGATAGACCTTTCTTTTACTGTCTATATGGGATAGACATATATTCAGGGGTTCGAGCGATAGCCATTAAACCCAAACCCTATTGTAATTGTTATAATTTCCAAGGATCAGCATTCTTCCCTAAAAGATCGGGCACACCCAACCATAAGTCGTATAGAGACTTCAACTTTTAGGGACGATAGTACCCACCCCGTCTACATCACCGAGGCTCGCCCCAATCGGTCAGATGGTGGCTCTCTGAAGTACTTAATGGCTCATAACTCCTAAACCATTAGTCGCAGGCTAATGCCTGGTTCAGATTAGCTACACGATTTTTTTTTTTTTTTGTCTGTTACGATAGTCACTGTGTCAGATTACGCGATTTTGACTCCTAAAATCTTGTCGTGTCGTGGATGTCAGACTACACGTTGGCACGCGTGATGTCATCAAGAAGGCGAAACTAGTAGCGAGTGACTTCCGGATCTATGAAAACGAGAAATATTTGTATTACTTACAATTTGTTTGAATGTGTGATACCCCCTGGCAAGGGTAATATTAATGTTGTATGCTTTGTATACTTTGTATACTGTTGTTTTCATTTGCAATAAAAAAAAAAAAAAAAAGAGTGACTTCCGGATACGAACGTAAACAAACAATGGATGAAGTGGTGAGTGTTGTATACATAGTTCCCACATGACGTCACAACATACGGGCATTTGCCGACCCGGCGCCATTGCTGAGGGCAAAACATAAGAAGAAGCAATACGAGTTGAACGAAGTGAAATGAGTTTCGTGCTATAAAGTGAAAATGGTCATCTCCTGCTGAGTCAATGGATGATAAAATCGTGCCGGAGGTTCAGTTAAATCGGGATTTTACACTATACCCGTCATTAGAAGGATATGGATGTGAGAAGACTAAGCTTTTGTCCGAACAACGATGGAGATTATGGCTGGCGAGCATGAACAGGAAAGAAACTCACTCAAAACACGCACGAATTTTTTTGACAAAAGCACAATGTTGTGTTTTATTGCGAGTGTAAATAAATATAAGTTAACACGTTGCAGTTTGAATAATGTCCTGTATGAACAAAATGACGAGGTATTAAAAACACACAAAACAACATTGTTTCCACTGTTTGATCTCACATTCCAGCATTGCAATCTCAGATTATGTCCCTAAAGATCCCGCGTATAATGTAGTTCCTCATTTATTACATTAATTAAATTGCACGCGAGTTATTTATTTTAATATTCATGCACCGAACCATGACGCCCGCAAGTACATGCATATTACAGAAATCACCGGTGACTGGGGAACATAGGAATTAAGTTGTGCAGGCTATGGCTTTTTAATAGACAGATTAGCATCATGCTACTTCGCTATGATGACTTAAGTTACTTTTCCATTGATTGCACTTGAGCAAACGTCACCAAACCAACCCCACGTCAATCTGATCGTACACCTCCAGTGATTTCCAGGCTTGGAATTGCTCACATGTGTAAAAACTTCTCACCAATACCAGATAATTGTACACATGAAAATACTGTATCTGAGGCAAAGTTGCATAATCGGTGCTCAGTGCTTCTTTTGTTGCATAAGGATACACACCATTTATGAATGAAATTTTCGCATTGTACCTCTCTATGTCTTGTTTTAATAGTCTCTTTATAATCTATTACACTTTGTCTTTTCATGATTTGCATAAAAATATAAACAGACATAAATATTTGTTTGTAAAACGACATTCTCTGATAAAACGTTGTAAACGCCTATGGTAAACACAGCGGTTTTGCCCTCAAAGATGGCGTCTCCGGGGAGGTCACGTGACAATTTTTTTGCCTGTGGGAACTATGTATTGGCTGGCATGTGGCATGCAAAAAGTAAAAAAAAAAAAGAAAGAAAACCTGACAATGGATACGTTTCTGGATTGCTCGAAGAGGACAGTATGGGCTGTCAATCCTCCAAAGAGAACTTGAGGTAAAATATTGTTTTCTTATATATTTTTACTTTTAACGTTAGCACCACAGTTTTGCCATTTTTGAAAGTTGTGTGCGGAAAAGCTGCTGTGCTCCTATTGGTCAACCTCATACATGGGACGGAACTCGTGGACGACCGTTAAAAAAATTAAACATGCTAGTCTTTTTGTCGTGATGTCGCCATAGACATATACACTAGACCTCACCTTGGGGCTCTAAGCATGCGTCAAAACCGCCGCCATCTTGGAACAGGGGTCTTGTCATAGGAAGTAGCTAGGTAACGCTGCTATCTCTGCCTTTACGTCGAATTCATTGATGGTGGCGGACTTTTGTGCAGTGTATGATGTTCATGGATGAAATCTGAACTAGGAAGAATGTTTTTGAAAAAAAAAAAAAAAAAATTCTTTCTGGAATCAATGATAAATACATGTCTGACCGTTGGAAAAAAACAAAAAAACAAAAAAAAAATCGCATTCATGATGATTTATGGTGATTTTATTTCCGTTAGACCTGTGTCTACTACATTGACGCTGATGCATTAAAGTGGAGGGGCTCCCCTGTTTCAAGATGGCGGCTCTATTGACGCATTCGTTCCAATGAACTGCCGTAGCCAAGGTGACGTCTAGTGTATATGTCTATGTGATGTCGTGAAGCATCGCAGACGTGACGTAGGTTGTCGCCCACTATTGCACACTATACGAGATGATACGATCGAATCTTGTATGCACACTACACACAGCCTGAGGCGTATGTCATGAGTTTGAAACAGAAGTATAAATAGGGCTTGACCCACTTGAACGGAATTAAATAATTTCACCAAATTCAGTACACCTACTGTCTGCACATTATGTAGGCTATGGGCTCGGTCTGTGGTGACGTGAAAAGTGCGATCATAATTTTGCCAACGATGCTTTTGGGAAACTTTGAGCAACTTTGTAATACCACCGCATGTCAATCGAATCGTTAGATTATTTCAAAAACCTTCTTTCGCAAACTAGTGACCTTAAACGCCTTGATTTAGGAGCTTTTTACAGTAGACATAACTGAAAACACAGTAAGTTTATCCCTCACAGCCTCGCTTTCATACCGGTCCTGTTGCTGCTCTGAATAAGGTCTATTTCTGCCACACCTCAAATGGTCCTCATCATGTGATACATTGTGTTACATTAATAAATACATGAATTAAATGATAAACCAAAAATAACAATGTCCTTATGTTCTACAATTTGAGATGACAGAAAATGCTTAAAAGCAGTTGATTCTTTTGAATATACAAAAATGTTTTCAGTCTTCTTCTAAATGTGTATAATTAGCTTTACTTGATAATACTGAGACAAATGCAATTTATACCATTTATTATTTTATACCAATACTTTACCATGTTTTACTTCTAAAACCACAGTATTAGTATTAGTAGTATTACTATAGATACACTATGTTTACTGTAGTAAAACCATTGTTCGTCTCCACAACTGTTTCCTAGTATTCAAGTGATGATGGCTTTAGAAAGAAAAAAAGAACATCAGTCGCATCCCTACAAACATTTATGTTTTGCATATGCTGAAAAATTAGAAACAAATGTTTACTGATATTTTCTTTGCATGTAGTGAATAACATTCAGATCACAAACGGCAGGCTACACCAGGTTGCCATGACAACAGTGACATTTATTGATGCTTGACTAACTATAGAGTATTTTTTCCCCATACAATCCTCTTTCGCTCTTCAGATTCCTACAACCATCATAAATGTGCTGATCCAACAATGTCTCAAATCAGGACCTGTTATGACTCATGAAGGATGTCACCTAAAATAGTGATAGTTTATGGTTTTTTTTTTTTGAATAGTCTACACTATAATCATATCCAGTGCCTTACACGTTCAGATCCTTAACCAAATTCTCTAATTTTACTCATTTACAAAACGTATTCGTATTCATTTCAATAAATGGCTACTTTTGAATTGCTGTCAATGGAGAAAGATGCTCTCTTTGCAGCCAGATGGTGTAGTTATGACATCTACTGTACTAATAGGCTAACTGCTTCATGCTAACCTGCCAAACCATGTCCTGTTGCTTTAAACAGATGAGGAACCCATCAGCTTAAGAATTATTATCCGGGTAGCGCATCTGATACTTGAGCGTGAGGTCAACAATCACTTTCAAGGACAATTCAGTAGCACAAAAATAGAGTCAAAATGCAGTAGTTCGAGTCAAGAGCTGTGCATAACACTGACCTACTTGTGAGAATTAATTAAATCAGTCTTTAAACAGGTTCTGGATATTTACAGAAAAACTGTGAGGCTTGAACATACTCTAGGCAAGTATGCAAATGTAGAGGTGGCTGCTTGACAATGCATTGCAAGCAGGGCTTGACATTACCATGTGCCAACCAGCCAAATTCTGGTGGATTTCAGCAGTGGCGTGTAACGCTGTGTTCATGTAAACACAGTCAGTAATAGTCTAAGTTGAGAAAGAAAACACATGTGTGACAGTATAATGGATCCGTGCATCAATCTTAAAGTGACTGCAGCCTAATTTACCAGCTGACAAATGATGATATACTATAAAAAATATCTATATGGAAGAACATCCTGCACACATTATTTTATACATTGTGTGACCACAATTCACAATGCTGCAAAATATGCATTGCATTATTTGCTGCAGGATGCGCTATAGTGGCCATTAGCATGAACTTCTACAATCAGATCAACTATTTTAAAGGGTTAGTTCACCCAAAAATGAAAATTAAGTCATTATTTACTCACCCCCATGCTGTACCAACACCGTAAGACCTTCGTTCGTCTTCGGAACACAAATGAAGATATTTTTGATTAAATTTGAGAGCTGTATAACTACCACATTGGCTCCTAAGGGACTGCCTCTTGACGGCCCAGAAAGTCAATGAAGAAAATGTTTAAATATCCCAAGTGACTACCGTGGCTCAACTATATGTTTATCAAGCGACGCGAATACTTTTTGTGCGAAAAAACAAACAAAAATTCCTTGTAGGCCAGAAACGAGATTTCCTTAGATTTCCACGACGCATGCGCGAGAATTGCGATCTGAAGTAGTGTAAGCAGACGAACGAAGGTCTTACGGGGTTGGTACAGCATGGGGGTGAGTAATTAATGACTTAATTTTCATTTTTGGGTGAACTAACCCTTTAACTACTGTCACGTTGCAACCTTGTCTTTTTATCTGGGCCAGATAGAATAATTTTTTTAAATAGATAGATAAAAATAGCTAAATTTAGCTAAAGACGATAAATTTACGATATTAAAGTGGCTGGCGAATGCACCGACTTGCCATAAATGGACTTTTACCTCAGAAGGGATCAAGCTATCATTGCCCGAAAAGACCGAATGCTTATGCAAACCTTGGTTTAAAATAGAACTAACACATCAATAAAATGTCAACAACTTCAACATTCAGCATTTGTAATTCAGTATAATGAAAGAATTGGTTAAGTGTGAATTTTATTAGGGAATGCTAGCTGCTAATGCAAAACTCCTGAATCAGGTACTTGTCCTTGATGATGACAAAAACTTGATATGATATTACCTTTTCAGTTTTTTTGTGTGTTTTAAGGAAGTTAGAAAATATAGGAACATTGTTTTGGTGTTCACAGTATTCAGCATTGTTTGATCTGTTAATGCACTTTGCGCTTGTTTTTTTGTTGTTTGTTTTTACCTTGTTGCATAAGCACCACGAAACATGCACCCATTCACGTTCTCACAAACACCCAACACACATTCTTGTATAATACATCTATCATAATTTTCTGACACAGCTCTGCATGTACAATGAATAACAGCCTTCAAAATAACCTTGGAGTTATTGTCCTTTGTTCAGCATAATATTATTTAGTCACTTGTTTTTACTGGCTGGAATGTCCACTAAATGTCTAAGTGCCTGGAAACATTGAATTCTGTTATAGCCCCTATAAAGGCATCTATCTTTCCAAAAAGCACAAGATCAAGAGCCATTCTTAGGAGTAACGACAGTCTTCACCTGTGGAGTGGTGATAGTTGGACCCTGACTGAATCCTTTGGAGCTTTGTCTACTCCCAGAAGCAGACTCAAATCTTCCTGGTGCACAAGCCTGGGTGACCTCCAACTCTTTGGCATTGGGCCCCTCTTTAACAACCCCAATAGATTTCCCAGTGCTTGTCAACTGTGGAGCCATACCAGATCTTTCCCCAGGAGACTGAGGTTGAGATTTGGGCAGATCAGGAGGCACTCCAGTTGGAGAAGGAGTAGGAGATGGAGAGTGTTCCTCAACGATCTCCAAGAGACATTTATCCTCCCAATCAAATGTTCCACGGTAGCAGCTGACCGGAGCCAGGCACTTGTCCTGCCGAAGTTTTCCCAAAACAGAGCACTGCGCCTGGGGTGGGTGGGATGGGACAACCCCTTTGGAAGGGGCTAAGGCAGTTCTCCCCCTGACATCTAAAGTTCTGGTATAGGGATCCTTTTTGAGACCCTCTCCGTCACCTGATCCCTTACTTGCTTTGGTTACCTCTGTGCTCGTTGTCCTCCCAGGAGCACTAAATGGTATGCTTGGCTTGACTAAAGTTGAAGTCTTCCCAACTTCTGTTTTCACTTCTTTCTTCTTAGTATCCTTTCCCCCTTCTTTTTCCAACATGTCTTTGCTGAGAACACCTGATGTACTCACAGAGCATGATGGCTTAGTGGTTCCTTGTGCCTGGTTTTGGAGAATCTTTGTAAGACTTCCTTTATCATTATTCCCTGCTTCCGTGATGAAACTTGGATCTGTTGTTTTGGCCGACGGGGAAGACGCTGTGGTCAGGGGCGATGGAATGGAGGCAACTACACTACACTTTGACTCTGATGCTACTGGAGAAGATTTGGTCAATGGAGGCTGCCAAGTTTGGGGTTTGGCTAGGCAACTTTCCTGTAGAGTGAAAGGCGGCCGCTGAAATGTTTCAACACTTGGAGATTTGTTACTACCAGGTGGAGTAATGCCACCAGGAGGGAGTGTCTCTTTGACCCCTGATTTAGCCTCACTAGCTTGACTTGGTTCGCCAATCCTCTCCTTGTCTCTATCCCTTTCCCTCCCAGCAAGCAAAGCATCTCTACTCAAAGGTGACTCCTGCCGGCCCAGTTTCCTGACCGGCTTCAGAACGCCCGTTTCAGGCGGTGACGGGGTCGGTTGTGTGGGCGAAGGAGAAGTTGTTGGGGCAGATACCAGATTCTCACCCTCTATTTCCACCAAACTCTGCAGGCCAAGCTCACAGTGGAAACCATCCTTTCTATAATCCGAATGTCCAACCTCCAAACTGTGCTTCCTCATCATCCCAATCCCTCCTTTCTTTTCAGAGGAAGATGAAAGCGGTGACCCAAGTTTCTCTGCTGACTGCACTCTTTTGAGTAGCGGTGATCTGGGTGGCTCTGCGCTCTTGGGTCTAGGCCTTATGATCGGTGGGGACGAGTGTAGTTTGGCAGGAAATGTTTGTGTGGTGTTGGAGCTTCCGATTGTGTGTCCAGGCAAAGGAGGTGGTGAGGATTGAGTTGGCGATGGAGTATGAGCCAGCGGAGACAAAGGAATGTTGCCGGCAGACTTGCAGCGGGCTGAACGATATTGGCGGTGTAGTTTCGGGGACAGTCCATGCAGGGAGCTGGGCCTCATATGCTGGGTTGTTGCAGGGGAATTTGGGGTACTGGAGGCAGGTGAGCTGTTCTGGGAGGAGCCACCTGGGTCAAGAAGATCAAAAGCCAGGGTTTAACGTGTCCATTAAACTTTGTAATTGTTAGTTTTCCCTTTTATAATCACAGAACACATTTTGATCTACTCACCAAGGTGGGACGACTCAGGGGTTGGGCGGTAGCTCTGGGTGGGGGAGTGACCAGACAGGCTGTGTGTTGGAGAGCCTGGAAGACTATCGCTGGATGACAGGGACCGGTTTAGAGACGACAGACTACGGCTTGTATGCAGCAGGTTGGACTGCTTAGTTATTTTGCGGAACAAAGATCCACGCCTCTTACTGTGAATGACAATGCAGAGGTGAGAAAAAAGATAGAAGATGTTCTTATATTGACGATCCTAACACATTATACCTCTCTTGTCCCTCTTTCACCGGCCTCTTGCTGCGTCTAGCCATTTTGGACTTGTAACTGGACTTGCGTGCGGGTCCCACTTTAATGGATGTGTTCTCAAAGGGAGTGGTGGTCAAGGTCACCTTGTTTCCACTCTGAACGAAGATAAAGCCAAGAAACATGCACCCCTTATCAACGAATCTTGCTCAAATGTGGATTCTTGAGGATTTCTAACTTGCAATTTTTGCCTTGCTGATGATAACATCTCATGCAAACTCATGTCTCACCTTAAGTATAAGCTCTACCACTTCAGTATGGACCAATCCATGCACAGATTCACCATTGACATGAGTGATGAGGTCACCAGCACCTAGTCCTGCCTCGTGGGCAGGGCCTTCATCCTCCACGTGCTTTGATTGGATACAGACAGAATTACTAATTATTGCATCTTATCGCAGCATTTCTGTTCAACTCAGTCAACTTTATCTCATGGTGTGTTGCTTTCTCACCCAGACTATGTGGTGCACACTGTAGACATCAGTGTCTCCAATGTAAACCCGAATGGCACGGAGTGTGAACCCATACTTTTTGCCAGAGCGGTGGATGGTGATCGGTGAACGGAGCACCGTGACTGTGGGGCAGTAATCACGGCTGGGAGAGGAGTCTCGCGATGAGGGGTTGGACGAGAGAGACCGTGGAGACATAGGACTGGCCAGTGGAGAGCTACCGTGCTGCTCAACTAGTTAAATTCAAAAAATGACCTATTATAAAAGGAAGCTTCAAACTCATAACAACTAAGCACTGAATTTTTGCATTACAGCAATGTGAATTGGAAGGAGAATGTATAAAAATAATGTCACAATGTAAAATCTCACGTGCGATTGGAGGCTGAACTGTACCTCCAGGAATGATGACAGACAACGCAGTGGTAGATGCAGATTTGATGACCTTGTTACTGGGACGCGAGGTGCGTTTCTCCCCATCACTAGACATCTGCTGATGACGTGCTCGCCGAAGCACCAGATCCTTGGTCGCCCGCTGACCGACGGGGTCACCGACGGGGACCGCTGCTATGGCCCCAGTAGAAGGTATGGCCTGTGGTGCCGATGTCTCACCTGTTCTCGATGGCTTGTCTGACGAATTTACATTCACAGAAATTTAGATTTGATTTCATACATCAACAATTCTTTTTTAATTTAACTTTCCTCCACTCACCTGCCCCTTTACTGGCACTGGTTGACATCACTTCCTTCCCAGCATTCCTCTGTTCGTTCGCACTGGGCGATGATGGAGCAGTGGCTCCCTCTGGTCCAGGGGCTTTAGCGGCGCCCTGTCGTGCGGAGAGCTCTCCGTCGCCCTCTTGAGGAGCCGCAAACCGGTGCGTGTCCATTAGGGCTGAAAAGCGGCGCCGGGCACCCATCGGAGGACTGAAGTCTCCCTCCATATACAGCGACTCAGAGCATGACAGACGTTTCCTGTGAAAAGGATTGGAACATGCCACATCGTTTAAAAAAAAAAGTGCATATTTATGCGCAGTATTATGGTGATATATAACAGACATGGTTTGAATTAATCTCTCATAAACGTACATCTCAGGTGAGCTCGTCCTCCAGCTCTTGTCCCTCATGCTGAAGCTTCCCAGACTTTCCCGCTTGGCCATCTTGTCATCGCGGCGACCTTTGTGCTCTCGGCGGGTGACTACGGGAGACTTCTGCTCCAGCTGGGACAGGTGCTCCATGCTACTGTACACCTGAAAGACAGAGAACAATACCAAAGGCTGCTTTGTTTACACATCACATGGGCTGTAGAAGTCTGTAGGAAGTCTGACTTTTTTGAAGAATATCCTTAAAGGGATAGTTTTAGATAATTAATTTTTTATATGTTTTAGCTTACCTCAAGGGCATTTCTATTAAATTGTATTATTTCACTGTTTTTATTGTATACAGTACAAAAATACAGTAAAAAAATGTGAGCAAATGCAGCCTTGGTAAGCAAAAGAATAAACAAATAAAAATCTTACCGACCCCAAACATTTGAATGCTAATGTATATAATTATATGGTGCTTTCCTGCTGCTTTGGTGCTAGAAATCACTGATGTTGTTCATCATCCAGTCATTTTGCTGTTTGCATAATTGAGTTTGTTTTGTTGTTTATATAATTCAGGGTCTTTGTTCGGGTCCTAAAGAGGGTCGCACGTCTTGAGAAGAACCCTTTAGCATATTCACGCTAACGAAGATCAGAGAACGTTTATTATGTAAGTGCGCGATTGTGTTCGCTTATCTGAAGCCCACTGCTTCACATGAGTGTTTTTATCAAGCACCTGCGTTTCACATTAAACAAACACATTAAAATTCCTGCCTTTTCTGGGAAAAGAAGGTTTTTATGCAACATATATCAACTGGCAGAGAAATCTGTTTAACGGTGATGGCCTTTTCAATGGATACAAGTAGGACATATAAATTTCTCAAATGCACAAATGCTTTTGCCAAGAATAATAATCAAATTTAAAAATATTCAGTGGAGTAAAAATTGTGTCACCTAGCCCCAGTCTCCACTAAACCGAATCAGATGTAATGTGAAAAAAAAAAGAAAAAAATTATGACCTATGTAAAAAGGATGGGTGCTTTTTTTTTACAACACAAAAGCAGCTTCAAAGAAAATGCACGTTCAAATGTTGTTCCAGGGTTAATGAGTGTGTTTATGCATGCGAGAGTGTTTCTTAGAAAGAAAGCATGAAATATGGATGCAGACATGTGTTAGACTGACCTTGCTAAAGCGCGGTGAGCAGGAAGAAAACTGTCTTATCTCCACCGGCTCATCGTCGTTGGTGTCGTCCTCGTCGTAGGAGTTGATGTGCCGATAGCGCTCGGACCGCGCTGAGACAGAGGGAGAGTAAGAGGACGGTGAGATAGAGTGATGCAGATCAAGGGCAGACTCAAAAGCAAATGTGAACGTCCTCACTGTCAAAATAGCTGGTGTCCTCCTCAGACTCCAGATGAGGGATGAACTCGGCCTTCTGTCGGAGTAAACCGTTCCAGTCCAATCCCGAGAAAAACGAGTGCTGCTTCAGTTCAAACGCTCCACCTGTTCATAAGGGTACACACACATGCATTTATAGACAATGTGAGCAGATAAACATCAAATCTTGGTAAGATATTAGGTGTTATGATCATGGATTGTGATGCAAAACACTCAAACGGGCTGTTTTTCCTTTTAATTTTCAGAAATGTCTTAATTTATCAGTATGTCCAAGCAACGGTTTTCCATACAGTGAACAAAAACTAGGAATTGGGATTGTACATAAATGAAAAACACTATAAAATAGTCTTCTAATGTCTTACAAAGTTTTGCATGGGATCACATTTGGTGAATGAAGATGGAGTCACGGCAAACATTAATATACACAAACACAAAAAAAGATGGCGGAGAAGGGAACTTTCTGAAAATTTCAAAAACGTTTTTGTTGTTTTCATTTTGTCTCATAAGCTTTCATCATTTATTTTCATTGTATAGGAAACAGTGACAACTTTCACATTCTGTGACCGAAACCATCATAGAACAAAATGAGACGATGACAGAAGTTACATTTTTGACTGAGAGATATATAGTATTTTTTTTTCAAAAGAAATTCATTCTTTTATTCAGCGAGGAGTCAGGATCAAAAGTGAGAGTTTGTTACTAAATATTTCTATTTTAAATAAATGCTTTTTTTATATTTCTATATTTGTGTAAGATTCCTGAAAAAAAAGTATCACAGTTTACACACAAAAAAATATTGAGCATCATATTAGAGTGATTTCTGAAGGATCATGTGACACTGAACACTGGAGTAATGATGCTGAAAATTCAGAAAAAATACATTTTAAATTGTAAATTATTTAAAATAGTCAAAAAATAAAGTTTTTTTTACATATGTTTGAAACATTTAGTTTTAAACATGTCAAAATGTTACTGTTTTTACTGTATAAATCCATTGATTTGATTTTGATTGAATAAATCCAACATTGGTGAGCAGAAGAGACTTCTTTAAAAACATATTAAAAAAATCTTACAAATCCCAAACATTTATATGGCAGTCAACAACAACAAAAAAAAGATGAAATAATAACATGCATGGATGAATTGCTCACAATAAGACCAAGAACATTGTATTAAATTAAAAAGGATCCAATTTGTTTTCATGTTGACTTGTTGAAGTTGTCATGGTAAAGTGTACCTGTGCCCAGTCGCACCACTGGGTTGGTTTGCAGCAGGTCAGAAATCAGGCTCTGAGCTTCACTAGGCAACGCCTCATCTCCTACAGGCCACTCAATATAATCTGCACAAACAAACAAACAGAAATCTGTTGGCAGCAATGACACTCTTCATACCGTTTCAGTTTATGTAATTGCAAACCTTTACAAGAAAGACGGAGCGCTTTGGAAGAGTTCTCTGCAGGAGAGAAAAGGCTTTGCTTTTGCACTAATCAACACTGCTGTGGCTAATATTAGCACAGATGTTGTGCTAATTTTGAAGCCAAATTAGCAGAAGAGAAGTGTAAATGACGGCGCAAATGACTTCGCACACTGATGCATGTATCATTCCTATTTTGCACCCGTGCAAAGCGGGCTTTTCCCTCCACAGACGAGGAAATCTAGGAAATGAAATGAATTTGAGGTCCCTGGGTGGGTCGGCACAGAAAGGAGGCGCAAATATTCCCTAGTGCTATTTTGCATTTCCAGAAAACAATTCCGCCACTGACCAGAAAAAAAGCTAGTCTAAAGTCAGTGGCGCATTGTTCATAATGCTATTTTAAGAGCACAACGCACATACACTTTGATTCTCTCATCAACACAGATGCAGCAGTTTTTTATTTTTGCAAATCATAAATAATAACAAGGAAAAATATTAACACATGAGGGAAATCATTGTGGTGTCCATGAAGATGTAAAAAAAAAATGTAGGCCTAAATCTAGCTTACACGTTTACCCAAATTTTTCAGGCTAATTGTATTAATGACGGATCAGACGTGTTTGCCCAATATATAGTGGCAAGACACATATATATATAAGGACATCTGACAAATTAGTTTGTCCGTCAAGAACCAGGAAAAAAAAAAATCTCCCATCTGCATACAACGTCACTTCTCTCTCTCTACTCTTACATAATAATAACAATCCGCCATGCAACATGCGCACCTGTTCTTAAAGGGTATGTTGGATGACGCTCTGATTGGTTTATTTCATGTTACGCCCAAACCACACCTATGAATTATGAAGCTATTTCAGACTAACCCCTTTTAAACTTGCGTCGGGCGCAAGATCATTTATCCTGCCGGTAAAATAGCAACAGCGCCCAAGACCCGCCCACAAAGTTACTTATGCTTTGCGCTTGATACTTGCGTTTCAGATCGTTAAAATAGTGCCCAATGGGTGATTAAGCATTAGGATTTACCTCTGCGTGAGACACAACGTTTACAAGACGATGCCGTTTTGCGTGGCTGGAAACGAAAACCTTTAAAAATGGGTTTCAAAGTTTTTTTGAAAAAGGTCCCAGAGTAAACGACAAAAACGCGAAACTGTGAAGAAGATTACGTCATGCACATGCGTATTACGTGTTCGGTCGAAAGTGTTTCGTCGCCATCTAATGGCCCGGCAGCAGAATACAGCGCTTCGAGTCGCTTTCGCGGATCCGTTTGTGTAAAAATGGTAAAAACTTCTCGGTTTTAAGCATGACGTTGTCATGTAAGACTCACCAGTGATCACCTGACCAAAGAGCTCTTCAGGGGTGTCTCCGAAGAACGGCACACAGCCCACTAGGAATTCGTAGAGGATGATCCCCATGGCCCACCAGTCCACTGGTTTCCCATAGCCCTGCCTGAGAATGACCTCTGGGGCAATATACTCTGGTGTGCCACACACCTGAGACAGACACAAAGACATTACGGCCGTGTTGTTTACACATGGTATGAAATCCCCTTCACATCAGGACAAGCGTCATTACCTGTTTGTCCAGGAACTCCCTGGCGTCCTTCTCGATGTGTCCCTCGTACAGGTTAGTGGTGAGATTCATGAGCCCCATCTTTGACAGGCCAAAATCAGTCAGCTTAATGTGACCCATCGACGTGATCAACAGACTGCGAAAAAGAGCCAGCCGTGAGAGTGCGCTTAAACAAGGATGTTGACAAAGCAGGGGTGGCATCTGTTTTACAGCTTGTAACGGAGCGATCACTTACTAACCTTTAAAACAGACCTACTGTGAGCTAGATAAGGTTGTTAATCGATGGTTTATGCTTTTGTTCAAGCCGTCAGCCCACATTATTTCAGTAATGTCAAACAGCAGAATTCCTGCTGATGAACTACATTACCCATAATTCTGCAGTGAAATCGCCAAAAGAGCCATCCACTCCTGCTAAGCACCGCGAATGACACACGTCAGTCTCCCGACGCTCTCAAACTACTTAAATATTTGTATATTTCAAATTTTTATTCGTCACACACACTAGCATAAATAGTACAACCTGCAGTGAAATGCATTTCTCGACTCGTGCACATAAAATAAAAACTAACTTACCAGAGAAATAAAATCTTATAATTTACACACAAATAGAAAATACATTTACATATGCACAGTCTGCAATAACTGTAAAATGTGTTTTTTTATACATATACAATCAACATTTTTGAATTCATAATTTTATATTTCTCCATCGTTTTTAATTCGGTGATGTCATTCGCAATGCTTCATGGGATTGTAGTTCTTTCCCTCATTAAACCCATTCAGAGCACAGGCTTGTACCTGTGTCATTTTGTCCGATTTTCGAATACTTTTTTTTGCTTAAACCAGAGTTTATACTGTTTTGATTCACCTCGTAGTTGGCTGTTTTGGCTTAGTACTCTATAATAAGGATTTTTTTTTAAAATTATACTTAAAATAGTAAAAATACTTCCAGAACCAAGGCTGCTTGAACTTTTGAACTCTATGCACAAAGGATATTTGTTTAAAGGATACATGCGCTTGTTTGTAGGCATTATACTGAGTGCAACATCTTTTCACTGAAAGCACTTCCACTATTTTCCTTGACACATGACCTCCACTCCAGCAGGGGGCGCTGACTTACTTGTCTGGTTTCAGGTCTCGGTGTACGATGCCATAATTATGAATGTACTCCAGCGCCAAAACGGTCTCAGCAAAGTACATCCGAGCCATCTCCACAGGAAGAGCTCCGATATTCTTCAGAAGCGTTGCACAGTCGCCGCCTAAACAGGGATTTTAAAATGGCTGAATAACATCCGTACATGTTTGGAACCAATAGCTCAGTGTGACACATAGTGACGGATCATTTCACGGACTCTCTTGTTCGACCTCGTTCTTCAAATTGAACAAATCTTTTTTCGAGTCATTAAAGGTGCCATGTGTAAGAATTGTGGTTAAAATATCCAAAAAATGAGCAACATGCAGCATAACAATGAGAAGAAATAAGGTTGATGATGTCATTAAAAAAATGACAAGTTATAGTACTTTAGTTATACTTTTAACAGCCAAATTCCCCAAACACATCCACTAAAGGCCTGTTCACACCGGGACAAATTTCGCACGCAATATTCGCCGACGTTTAACGACTCATGACTAAACAAAGGGCGCCAATGTGAGTGTGCACACCGACGCGTAAAACGCCACGAGCAAAAGCGTCATTTTTAAAAAAAAAAAGCCTCGGGTTCCTTTTTTTTAGTTTGACGCGCCTCGTCAAAAACTATCCGACCAATGAGATTGCCGCTTTTGCTCACGTGATTGGAGCTTCTGAAGTTACAGTAAAACACAACTTGGGGGCGCTCAAACACAAAACAGTCTTGTAATGTCAGGAAATGAATTTGCATGTTCACTCGGCTCATCGTCAGTGAAAATAGGTGCGTTCCATTCGACAGGGTCCCTATGCAGTGTTCACTGCTCCCTAGTCCCTGAACACGGTATATCAGTTGAAGTGGACTTCACTGACTTCCTGTGAAGTGATGTATCGATGTTCCCTTATTCCCTATGCCGTTTGCAGTGCCCTTTGAACTGAACATGTTCGTTCCCGTCGAATTGGAATCTCACTTAAGATGGCGAAATACCCTGTGAAGTCCACTTCGCAGTCCACTTACGGTCGAATGGAACGCACCTAAAAGTGAACAAAAAAAAAAACGCGTTGAAAAACGCTGGCGAATAACGTGCGTCAATATTCGTCCCGGTGTGTACGGGCCTTTACGCTTGATATTCTGAATTAAGAAATCATTATAATGCAGTCAAAAATAATTTACAGGAAACATAAACAATTACTTTCTGAGTCTTTCGTTCATTTGTCACGTGACAGACGCAATGAAAGGATCGTTCATGAATGACCCATCACTACAGCGTGTGTGTGTGATGTCTTACCCTCTACATACTCCATAACCATACACAGGTGACGGCGCGTCTCAAAAGAGCAGAACATGCTGACCACGAAGGGGTTCTCAGCGAAGGTCAGGATGTCCCGCTCCACGAACGCCTGCTGGATCTGGTTCCGCAGGATCAGGTTTTGTTTGTTGATCTTCTTCATGGCAAAGCGCTGGCGTGTCTCTCTGTGTCTGACCAAATACACAGCCCTATAATCCAAACGAGAGGGAGAGTTGCATATTTACACAGTGGCTTTGAGTCATTTCAGAGCGAATAACAGCGTTAGAGTATTCTTACCCGTACGCTCCGTTGCTGATGAGTTTGATAGTCTGGAAGTCTGATTCACAGGGCGGTTTGATGGCTCTGAGCTTCCCCTGAGAGAAAAAAAGTGCGATTCAGTGCAGGGGAAATAAGTGGACTCACTGGAGCATCATTTCACTCCTTATGCCGTTTCATTTCTCCCAATTTCGTCCTGAATCCCTGCCGCTGCAGTCGTGCTTCAAGAGTTTGCCGGGTCCTTAATTAAAAATATGTTTCCATGTGAAAGAGTGAGAAAATTGCAAGCTTATATAACACATCTTGCTCTGTTTTCCCCCTCTCTTTGCTTGAATCACACACTTTATTCAAGTAGGTAAAAGTTATGATCCGACGCAAACTTGTTGGTCATTGCAACATAAAATGTACATGACTACAGCAATGCACTCACTTCAGCAGAGTCGTCCGTCTCCGGCGTGTGTGGGCCCTCACTGTCATAGCTCTCCAAATTCACCATTTCTGTATGGGAGGAGGAGGTTCGGTTCATCATTTTTAATTGTATGTTTTTTTTATGCAGTAAATATATTGCAATTACATAAATGTGTTGTTTGAGAAACAGTTTCAACTTTTAAAGTTTTTTGTTGTCTAATTAATAGCCTAAGATTCTAGTCAAATGCAACTAAATTAATTAATATGTAAAACATAAATATATTAATAATATACATTACTGTTCAAAAGTTTGGGGCCAGTAAGACTTAAATGAGTCGCTTCTGCTCACAAAGGCTGCATTTATTTGATAAAAAATACAGTAATATTGCGAAATATTATTACAGTTTAAAATAACTGGTTTCTATGTGATTGTATTGTAAAATATAATTAATTCCTGTGATCAAAGCATCATTACTCCAGTCTTCAGCGTCACGTTTCCTTCTGAAATCATTCTAATATGATGATTTTCTGCTCAAGAAACATTTCTCATTATTATCAATTTTGAAATCAGATTATTATTTTTGTGGAAATTCTTGAAAAGAACAGAATTTATGTCAAATGGTAAATGTATTTGCTGTTAATTTAATGTGTCCTTGCTGAATAAAAATATTTATTTTTTAAAAATAAAAAATTTTTTTACTGACCCCAAATTTCTGAATGGCCAAAATGTTATTATATATATATATATATATATATATATATATAAACCATAACATTTTGTATATATTATATAGTATAGTATAGTAGTATATAGTATATATATATTATATAGTATATACTGCTCAAAAAAATAAAGGGAACACTTAAACAACACTTAAAAAGTAAAAACAAAAAGAAAGTATTTAATAAGATTATTTCATTCATTCAGATCTATGATGTGTTATTTTAGTGTTCCCTTTATTTTTTTGAGCGGTGTATATAATATATATATATATATATATATATATATATATTATTATATATATATATATATATATATATACACACATACATACTTACATACATTATATATTAGTGTATGTATGTGTGTGTGTATATATATATATATATATATATTACCAAATGTTATGATTTATATATATATATATATATATATATATATATATACCAAATGTTATGGTTTATATATATATATATATATATACACTAATATATAATGTATATTGTACATGTATAATGTATAAATTTGCATTTTATTTCTATGGTATATGTCCAAAATTGTGTATATAATATGCAATAATAAGCAGCATGCACATTTGATCACTCAACAAATGAAGAGTTATCTAAAATTCATATATAATAAGCCATCTGCCTTTGCCTTTCCATGAGCAATCCAACAGCATATAGCCAAATCGTGTCTAAACCAACACCTCCAGTCACCACAGCAACCCATTCTAGAGACTAAAAAGAAGCATCGCTGATCTAAATAAAGACTGACATAAACAAAAACTCAAGAAAACACTGAAAACACACAAACAAGCACAAAAACGGCAATTAAAACGGCGCTTTTTTCGTCAGCATCCAGCTGAGCTCAGAATAACAGCATGTGGAAAATAATATCTTCAACATCTGGGATTTTAAACCTCATTTTCTCTGGCAAACTCCGGAAAACTAAGCGAGGTGACTGAAACGAGTCTTCGCAATTTCACACAAGACTCCCAGGGATAGGGTTTCACAGTGTCCAACTGTATTTAATACGCTCTAAGACAAACCATGCGCAAATTCATAAGTCGACAACATTGCTGAGTGTTTTCTCCTTAAAACTGCAGTGAACCAAAGACAGTCTCAAAAACACGGTTTGAAATCGCTGCTGTTTCTGACGTCACACACTACCTTGTAACCAATCAGGTCAACGTGTGATCGTCAACTACTGGATCTGTGAGTGAGTGGAGGCGGGGCTCATTAGCATATTCATTGAAAGGCGTTTACTAAAGGCAAGGTAGGTGTAGAGTTACATTCAAGCTATTTTAAAGCATTAAATATGTCATTTTGGTGATCAAAGGAGCATTTTATAGGGGAGTCAATTATTGACTACAGGGGGATTTTAACTTAATAGGCCGAGTAGCATCAGAGTGCATTTTTGTGCTGGAGAAATAGTTGCGTTTGTGAAGAAAGCAAGTGCATGTTTGTATCAAAAGCCCCATTATGCTGTGCCGGCTGCTGTTTGCCAGGTTCACAGCGGTGCTTACACATTTCCCAGCGTTCTTGGCAGGAATACAAACTTCCGACTGCCTGTGCGTCTCCTTGTTCCATAATCTCATCAATGTCTCCCAGTATGACCTACATTTCTCCCCCTCTTTCGACTTCTGCTACGCTCGTTCCCTCTAGAGACTAACACGCTCTGTGTGAAGATGTTCAGTCGTGTTGTGTTTCTCTCTCACCTTCCAGAGGGTCTCTGGTCAGGCCGAGCTGGCTGATGATGTACCGCGGGATGTCCGTCTTCATCAGCTGGCCCTCTTTAGCGTGGTCTTCTGCGGCCTCCAGGAGGTGGTAGAACTCTTCAGGGTTAAACTCCTGGGGAAACAGGGGGAAATGTAGTGAAATTCTGTAGTGAAACAATAAACCACCGTTCTAAAGTTCAGGGTTTGACGATTTTTCAGTGTTTTTAAAGTATGTTGTCTGTTCACCAAAGCTGCATTTTATTTGAACAAAAATACAGTAAAAAGTGCAATATTGTGAAATATTATTATACTTTAAAGGGATGGTTCACTTTGAAATTAATTTTTGGTATGTTTTAGCTTGCCTCAAGGGCATCCAAGAGGTAGGTGTGTTTGTTAGCGAAGTAGTTTCAATTTTGATATTTTTAGGTCAAACCGTTCTTGTCTGTCAGTCATATAATGGAGGTCTATGGTCACCACCTCAAATAGCATGCACAGAGAAGTCCAAATTAAACATGATTTAATGACTCCTAAATGGCCTAAGACACGAAACGAGCGGTTTGAGTGAGAAAACGAACAGTATTTATATCGTTTTTGCTTCTTGTAATCACAGCCATGTCCAAGTACTCTGAGGTCGAGGGCGCTTCTGTCTGCGCAAGCGTGCTGGAAGTGATCTCTCACGCGTGTTCGTCACTCATTGTTTACAAAGAGATTTTAGAAGTGTTGCCCTTCACTGTGAAGATCTAAACATATTACGATACACAGGAAATTGCAATGGAAGACGATTTCGATATATCAACAGACAACGTTGATTTTTTTCGCAACCGTATAAGAGATCACTTCCGGCGCCCCTCGCCCTCAGATCACTTGGTTTTCTCACACAAACCGCTCGTTTCGTGTCTTAGGCCATCAGTGTGTACTTACATTTACGAGTCATTAAATCATGTTTAATTTGGACTTCTCTGTGCATGCTCTTTGAGGTGGTGACC